GCTCTATTGATATATGTTGTTATTAGACTGCTGTTACATCTTTTGGTTAAATCCATATTTCTATCTATATTAAGCACATGTTTGTTTTGCTTATTCTACATGTGGTTGAGTTGCTTGTTTATTTATGTTCTTGTAACCAAAACAGATCTGTGATATCAGGTTAGTGCCAATTCCCCAAAATGGTATAATTTCCAAATTTTTGAGTGTTTTCTTCAAGAAATTTTAGATTTTTTTGCTTTTATATACTGTATCTCTTGTGTTTGTCTATTTCTTCTCTTTTTATATATCTTTCTTGAATGCTCTTTCTTTTTACTTAGTTCTGTCAAAATAGTTTAGAAGGCTACTTTTGCGTAAAATCAATTTTCCTTTTGGTTGATTTTGTGTTTAGATGATCAGCAGGAAGAGTTTTTCATTTAGTGGATTTTAATTTTGCCTTTTGCTGTTATATTAAAGAACTTGTAAAATGAATATGAAGATAATAAAAGAAGAAAATATATATTATTATATGCTTTTATATATATCTTTAATAATTTTAAATGAATATCTAGATAATAAAAAAAGAAAATATATTAATATAAACTTTTATATACTTTTATTTTGCTTTATTCTATGAAGTTAATGAATATCAATAAAATGTATATCAATATATATATATCTTTATACATACCTATACCTTACTGTGATCCTACTAACATGCAAGACAAATATTAGAATAATAAAAAAAAAAAATATATATATATTTCTTATATCTTTTGTATACTTATATCTTGTTTTGATGCTGACACCTATTAGTTTACTATTATTATTCTTTTTATCTTATTCCTTTATATACAACAGAAGAATAATAGAAAACTAAAGGTATATTAATATATAGCTGATATTTATATTTAATCTTTTTATAATATAGATAACTGTTAGTTTACTGATATATTATCTAATATGCATATCAGCTAACTAATAGGACTATATAGGTACATTCTATTATTTTACCATTATTTATGTATTCGACCTGTGTTACTTTTGTCAAATCACATTATTAAAAAATTTATTCTTTTTATTTTTTTTAATCATAATTGTTTCTAATTTATTTTCAAAAAATAGTTCTACTTTTGACTTCAATTAGTAGTTTGAATAAATAGCTTTGATAACAATATTCTGTTTCTGTTTACTAATATATTATAAAACATCTAACAATAAGAAGCTTGAAAATAACAATACTAATTCTATAAGATTTTATATTTTATTAACTTTTTTTTTATCTAACAATAGTTTGGTTTTATAAAACATTTTAATAACATTGTTCAAAAATCTAAATACAGCTGATGTGCAATATAATACCTTATAAGATATTTTGTCAAAATTCTTAAAATCTCTATACATTTATTTTAATATTTCTTTGTTAATTAATAGTGAGTTAAATTTAATAAGTTTGTTATATAAGAATAATTGTAAAAGTTTGACTCTCTTTTGTCTGTAACATGTTGTTTTTATATATTCTAATTAGTAATAATTACAATTTAGTAGTTGATATGAATGTTGCAATGTCTTGTTTATCTGAGAAATCTGGTTCATTGTCTGAATCCTGGATGTTGGTTTTATCATTAATGTCAATGTTATTATAAACATTATTAGTAATGTTATTACTATTGTTATTATTATTTTTTGTTGAAACTTGATCTTGATTATTTGTAATTTGATTATTCATAAAGAAAACGTGAGGAGGTTTCTAAGTTGCAGACTGCAAACCAAAGAAAAACGGCCTAAGTTAGATAGAAGGGTATAATGGAATATTTAGAATAAGCTATTTTTAATAATCGGTGTTACAAATTGTATTTCTCCATAGTTTGGACTGCAACCAATAAAATTCAGGCCAAAGTCACATGATTTGCGATTAACTTACTGACCGAAGTTCATTTAAAAATCGCTCAGGTTTTAACAAAAAAACAATTACAAGATTTTACTATACAATCAACTTTTATAACTATCCTAACCTTACCTAACACTAACCCTACCGATTTCGCGTTACACCTGATATTATGAGGTACACTGCATTAACGGATTTGCACAAAATCTAAAAAGGATACAAATTATGTGGCACAAATTTGAAAAAGGTTTTTTTTTTCTTGCGTTAAATTAATTAAAATGCGTTAATAATTAAAGGATAATCCCGATTCCAAATTAGGTAGAATGCCGTAATTGTCCCATTCGGGTTTGGGTAACATCACTAGCTACGAACATGGCTGAGATAAATTTTTTGGCAAACGACCGAAGGATGTAGAGTAAATTATATATTAAATAAATCGCATCCTCTATTAAAAATCGCTTCTATTCAAATTATTGCATGTGACTACTAGGACTCGGTCCCAAGTCTGACTTGGAACCGAGTCTAGATTAAGGCTCGACTCATGGAGTCGAGTCGGACTTTCTTGAACACTAGATGTAAACCATGATTTTTTAATAATTATATATACTGTATATTTATAGACAATATACTAAAAGTAGGTTAACAAAAATAAATTATATTTAAGGTTTTGGTTCTGCTCAATTCTAGCAGATGCGCGTATGGATCTTCGTAATACCAAATACACCTTCAAACAATCCAGTTTTCTTCGCGATCAGAGTCGAATAATTTCTATATTATTTGATTCGTCTTAGCGAGACAAATTAAATGGTATACGATAAACCACGCTTTTATTCAATATTATTTGATCCACCACTTTATCCACTCCATCTAATACCCTCTTTTCAAAATACTGTCATTCAAGGATTGAATAAGCGTCATCAAGTACTACACTGGTACTACGTTATTACAGCATTATATGAAGTGTCACAATTAGCTAATGACTAGTACATAATTTACAAATTGGTAACAAAACTCATAATTTTAGACAAAATGGCTTTCCTGTATCCTTCTTGGAACCATAGTAAGTTAGGGTATGCATTCGGAGAATACTCCTGTAAATTGAGACCATACCTGATACATTTAGATAGAATTTTTAATAAGACTTGTATTTTGAGATTATCAAACTCGTTACATAATAATTGTTTAAAAATCTCAAACATCTTGTACATGAACTATCAGAGGCATTGAACAATATTGTTTATTACGGATGGTCCGAATATGAACAATTTCATTTTAGTCCAAAAAAATTTACATTTGTTTCATTCACAATTTACGGTAGCTCGGATCCTTCACACGATCATGTAATAAACATTATTCGTTGCTAAGATATGCTTGTCTTTTAATATAGCAATTAAATGATTATTTTGCTTTATTCTGATATTGAAGTTTTTTGTCTGAAAAACAAGCGCAGAGACATGGCAGGATCCGACATGGTGTGGAAATCTCGGTTCCCATCATTTTACATACATTTATGATGCTTTGATAAGCTAAATAAAGTTTCGGAGACTAAAAATGTACAACATCGGCCTTAGGACTCTTAATTTATGAAGCTATATTGATATCAATATTGAATTTTCGAGTATGTACCCGCAACACATCCACTATCTGAACCCGGGGTCGATGTCTAAAGCCTTTTTTTGATTGTCCTGTCTAAACGAACAACACATTTGTTGAAACTTCCATATATAACCAATAATTTGAATAAAAAAATTCATGATTATATATATATATATGTTGTGCCCCAAATCTAATTGTCAATTGGGACAGCCCAGATGTCGATTTACTAAATTTTACCTAAATACCCGGGCTCAATTGATTTTTTTAGGCCGATAATTTAGGCCAATTGACATTGACGTCGGGCACAACATATATATTCTAGTTCTAAATGTTTTTACTTAGAAAATGGAAACTAGATTGTCTTGAGTAATTTTAATTTAATTTTTACCAAAACTCGCCTAAGGCTGAACAATTCGGTGTTCTCCATCTTCGCATGATTAATAAATATTTGATCACATGTTCACGTTTGATTACGTCGGGGACAGTGAAAATATATATCGATTTACCAAGATTGGCCAATCAAAATTCACAATTTAGTGTAGCACAATATAACGTGATCAGTAATTTTTATGTTTGTTGATTGTCTACGTTTCCGAAACTTACCGACAGTTCAGGTTGGCCAAATTTGTGTTGTCCGGCCCAAATTATACACTTAATTTTGCCCGAAGTGGTATTGTTACACTGCAATAATATCGATTTACATAATAAACATCAATCGATATTTTTCACTGACGTATATAAAGAGAATATAAATTTTTTTTTAATTGTTCGTTTATCTTATGACATATAATTAACGGTATATATTATTTTTTTTGAACGGTGGTTGATCTTAATATTTTGGATAGTATTTCAAGTATCAACTTTGTTCAATTATTAAAAAAGGTTCTCGTGATGTATCTTGCATTCCAAAAATGTCATGGTTCAATATTCTATATACTGCTCTGGATAACTTTTCTGTCGCTTCAGATCGTTTCGGCAAAAACTCCATCACGTCGTGACACTGAGAAATTTTTAAATTCCTTGATTACTCCTAGAGCTGCTTATCTTCCTCAATCACACCGTTCGCCTCTTGAACTTGGTTTGTGGCAAACTGAACCTGAGCGTGACCCAAAATGTCCGCCTTGTTTCGACTGCCACCTTAAAGATTTCCCATGCTCGCATTTTACTAATTGTAGTGATTTTAGTGGAAGGTGTGAATGCCCTCCTGGTTTTACTGGTAACGATTGTTCATTACCAGGTATGTTTTTTTTTTGGTTTAATTGGAGATTTTTTAAACGATGAATTTTTTCATAAAAATAAGGATGAATCAGTTGAACATAAATTATCTTACTTGATTAACTTTTCTTTTTCCAAGCGTTCGAATTTTTCTATTTGTTTTTCTAAGTATTTGGATATGATTAGTAATTTTTAAAATACTTATTTACTTGGTTTCTGCTGATTCATCCTATATATAAGGTTATGGTTGAACACGAGTTCACACGTGTTATCAACGTGGGATGCACATTACTATTCACATTTGGTATAACGATATTATTTATTCGCTGTGGTTTAATGACAATTTTCTAAATTATATTTTTAGCGTGTAATTCCTTGGTAGATGGACACAATCGTAAAGCCCGTGAGGCAAATCAATTTTGTCAATGTTCTGAAGGGTGGGGAGGAATCAATTGCAATGGTGGGTATATCTTAATTTATCAAATATTATATATATATTCATTTTTCACCTTTTAAAAATGTCAAATTTCAAATGATACTACAGTCTGTAATGCCGATAGGGCTTGCGACCGTATGGTGGCCACGGGAATGAATGGTACTTGTTATAAGGGAGGGATCATTGTATATGAGAATTTTCAAGTGTGTGATGTAAAAAGTAGGTGCCATAATTATTTATTACTGCTTTTTATACTATTAAATTTCCTATTAAATTATTTGCTTGGATTTTTTAGATAGGAAAATTTTAGACATGCTTCCTGATCAACCTCCTCAAGTTACTTTTTCTTGTAATCGCACCACAGAAAATTGTGATTTTCAGTGTAAATATCTTAGATCATTTCATATAATTATTATTACATTCATTTTTTCATTCATTTTTTTTAATTCGGTTTTTTAATACAGTTTGGATAAACCAAACTGAATCATTTTATTGTCATTTAAATGAGTGTTCATTCACTAGTGACATTACAGCTGACGCAAATAATACAAAGTACGAATGTCAAAAAATTAAATGCGAGTGTGTGATCGGGGAAATGCTTTGTGGTAAAAGTGGATCTATCGGTATGTCGTTATATTATTCAAAGATAGTTGTATATAAACATTCATCAATAAAAGAATTTAATATTTGTATTAGATTTATCTGATTGGCTAACGGAGGAAATCAAAGGTCCGGCCGAATTTACATGTCGTAATACAAATGAATGCAAATTTTCGGGTATGTTATTGATAAATTCTTCAAACCGATTTCAGATGTAACCAGAAAACTTATTTTAAATGGGTTTATTAGAACCTGCCATGAATGATCTAATTTTGGCAGTTTTTGGTGATGAACACATAACTTTGGATTGTGATAGTGGCGAGTGTCTCCACTATACTGAAGTTCCTGGGTTTATAGTGAGTATATGATACATATTTAGCAATATATTAAAGTTGACTACTGATATTTACCATGATAATATAGAGACCGCCTAAAAGTGATAATTCAATAGTTATTATTATATCGGTGTTAACAGCATTCATTTTTGTCGGTGCTATTTTTGCAGGTAAATGAAAATTAATGTCTTATTTAATCAATTTCATCCATAATATTAACCTCTTTTACTTTTATAAGCTATCTATTACTTGTCTCAAGAACGGGGATCACATGGATCTTATGGAGAAATTTTACTTGACGATGAAACTGCCAAGCTTATGGCAGATCATACCCCAGCTACATTGCAATTTAAAAATGTTGGTTATTATGTCGGAGAAAAACAAATTCTTTCTTCAATACACGGGATTGTAAATCCTGGTGAAGTTATGGCAATTTTGGGTGGATCTGGTGCAGGTAAAACCAGTTTTATGGACATTCTTGCTCGCAAAAATAAAGTTGGTATGGTTAGTGGTGAGATATACGTCAATGGGAGAGAAGTTAAAGACGAAGAATTCAAGAGTGTGGTCGGGTACGTGTTTGACCATTTTGCTATTTTGCGTTTAAGATTCATATTATATATAGTAATCCTATTTATTATTAGTTACGTTGATCAAGAAGATCATCTTCTTCCAACATTAACTGTTTATGAAACTATATTGTATTCTGCTCTTTTACGATTACCTCGAGAAATGTCAATTGAAGCGAAGAAGTTTAGAGTAACTGAAACAATGAAAGAACTAGGAATTATTAATATTAAAGATTCTAGAATAGGAGATACAGGTATAATTAACTTTACATTTTTCAATAAAATTTAAGATTATTTTTCTTTACATTTTCATTTATTTCATAAAAAATAGGCACGCGATCAATTTCTGGTGGAGAGAAGCGCCGTGTGTCGATAGCCTGCGAGCTAGTTACTTCTCCATCGATTCTTTTCCTCGATGAACCAACTTCAGGTTTAGATGCCTATAATGCCTATAATGTGATCGAATGTCTTGTAACCTTGGCAAAAGATTATCGTCGTACTGTAGTTTGTACGATTCATCAACCAAGAAGCAACATATTTGCTTTATTTGACCAGCTATTATTGCTTGGAAGTGGTCACATGATATATTCTGGTGAAATAAATAAATGTCAATCTTATTTTGAAAGCGTTGGACATAAATGCCCTCCAGGGTTCAACCTCGCAGATTACCTTGGTTTGTTTTTTTATTTATTTCAAAAAAATTAGGATGTTATTATGATTACTTATTAACATATAATTATTTTTTTATTTATTTATTCGATTACTAGTTGATTTAACCATGTACGCAGCGAAACACCATGATAATACGAATGAAAATCAAGATCCCAATGGAAATGGTTCTGTACCAGGATCTCGACCTCAGCTTCAAAGCCGGAATTCGATTCATGAAATTCAGGATTCACAATTATACTCACCATCTCCTAGAACATCAGAAGACAATGGAAGTTCTTTCGAGTTAAACAATCGGGAAATGTCACGTGCGACAGAAAATAATTCTCATGATATTGATATGGGGGAGGTTAGTGATTATATGAGTGATCATTTAAGGATGTTAGTTGAAAGCTACCGTAGGAGTTCGATTGCCACTAGAATTAGGATGGAAATAGATCGTGCTATCAACAGGTAAAAATTGGCATTTGTAGTATAATTTTGTTTTTTAATATAATATTTATTTTGGTCTACATAAATCCGCAGTGAACAGAATGAGCCAGTTTTAACATCGGTTCAAGAATCATTAATTCTCAGTTCTCATCGCCGTGCATCGTGGTCTACACAATTTAAAATTTTATCGGATCGTACATTCAAGAATTTGTATAGAAATCCTATGTTAATGTTAACACATTATTGTATCAGCGTTTATCTTGCGTGTAAGTTTCATTTAAAACACATCTATTTAAACTACGTCATTATTAACGTGAATTATTTCTAGTACTTTGCGGTGCCTTATTCTACAAGGTTACTAACGACATTGCTGGATTCCAAAATCGCATGGGCATATTATTCTTCATGTGTGCCCTTCTTGGGTTTGGATGTTTGAGTTCTCTGAATGTGTTTGCATCAGAAAGGATAATATTTGTGAAGGAAAGAGCAAACGGATATTATGCACCAATTACATATTTTACTTCTAAGGTATATTTAACTTAGTTCTCTTTTAATTATATAAAAATTAAAATTAAACTGTATACAATTATATTAGGTGCTATTCGATATAATACCACTTCGTGTGGTACCACCTATTCTCATGGGCATCATTATTTATCAAATGGTTGGACTAGTCGCTGGCGTTAACGAATTTTTCAAATTTTTGCTGGTCCTTGTATTATTTAATCTTACGGCAGCAAGTATTTGCTTATGTATCGGCATTATTTTTAAAGAGGTTGGTGTTGCCAGCCTGTTGAGTAGTCTGGTGATGTTATTCAGTATGCTGTTTGGTGGTTTACTGCTTAATAAAGGTGAATATTTATCATTACACATTGAATCTTTTACTTTCGAATTCAAATATTTGACGTTTTTTATTTCATAGAATCAATTCCAAGTTATCTGGCATGGCTTAAACATTTGTCGTTTTTTAATTATGCATTCGAAGCGATGCTTGTCAATGAAGTTGTATACCTCCAGTTGACTGAGGAAAAATATGGACTGCAAATAGATGTATGCAACTTTATATGTATTTATACTAACCATAATAATATTTAATGTGATTAATGATATTCTATTTTTTTCGGTAACAGGTGCCTGGTGCAACTATTTTATCAACTTTTGGATTCAATGCTTCAGCTTATTGGCCTGATGTCACGAAGCTGACATTATTGTTCATGAGTTTCATCGTGCTTTCGTTCACTTGTTTACAATTATTTGTAAAAGAGCTTCGTTAGATAAAAATTATAAAAATTTTTTTTTATCTTTTTCCTTTTTATGGGGTTATTTTTGATTAAACAATTTATAATAATTTTGAGGATTTTGGGCGGAGATTGGTTAATTATATCTTTAAACAATTTATTTATTAGTTAACTACTTCAGTTAATGAGACATTATACTTCGTGAATTATAAAGCCCAGTAGGTGTATCAACGTTACTTCCTTGCGATTTATAATGCACGGTTTAATAATGCAATACAAATTTTATGTATATTATTTTATAAAAATTAATTGTATTCAAATAAACACTACTGCGTTTATTTGTCACCTTTTTTTCAAAAAAAATTGTAATACGTATTGAAACTAAATTTCAATAAAAATTGTTGCTAATCTGCTTTCAATCAGATTGTGGAATTTTGTATACAATAAAGGTAAAAGAAAAAAAAAGATTTTTTAAAAATATAAGTTTTTGGATGGATCGTAATACATAATTAATAATTTATACTAGTCATTGCTAAATAAGTCATCAATTCCTACATATGCATGCATATGGTTCCATCAAGCAATGCTCGAAGGAAGATTCTTTGAGCTTCATTTACACTCTTAACTATAATTAAACTAGAATTCTTACATTTATAACTTTTTTTTCATTGATATTTTGTATGTTACTACAATTAGAACATGTTTTCGAAGTGTAAGCCTTATCTTAAATTACAATTTTCATGCTAGTTTCTTTAGCTTTGAATGTCAGCCTTTGTTTAAATATATGTGATTATATTAACATGCTTCTCATGATCTTGGATCTGATCTTTCTTTCTTTTTTTTTTTATCATATGTTTATGTTAAATTTCGGAGTTATAATCACATTGTAATTTTTTGCAAAATAATTTATAGTCTTCTTGTAGAGTTTGTTTCTCAAATTCTTGATCTTTTAAAATATTCAAATTATAGTTTTATTGACTCTTTTGTTTTTTTCTTCTTTCTTCTAAATGTTGAATTCTTAAGTTTGTTTCTTTTTGAGTTTAGTTTGTCAGCATGATATTTCAATCTTATCAACTTCTGAAAATGTTCTTATCAATTTCATAAGTTCTTTTGGTTAGTAAGTACATTATGAATGCAGTTCTTATATTAGAATCTATTGTTACAAAATTTTCATAAATTTATTTAGTTTTTATTGAACTTTTATACATTTATAATAGGAATTATTTATTTGTTTTATGATAATATATTAGTTTATAATCTTGTTTTTTTTTGGTGTTAAGATGACCTTTTTGGTCTTTTGATTTTTATTAATGACTTTTTTGATAATGTGATTTAGTGAACTACTACAGAAGAGTGTACAATTGGCTATATACTGTATATATCTTTTCTATATTACTTATTTAAGAAGTTTGCTTAAAGGTTCCTTACTAATTGCTATACCTAACCTCTTTTTCTTCATACTTGTGTATTTGCTTTTGTTTTGGCTTTTAATTTTCTTTTAAAAATATGACCAATTATGTATTTTAGTAGTTTTGTTTGATTCTTTATTTTTAATTGCTGTAGTGAATCTCTATTCTATATTTGTTTTAAGATTTAGAACTTCTTTTATAAAAAGTCTTGTAAGATCTTTTACTATTTTTTTTTTTAACAGAAGTTGATATTAGTGTTTAGAAGAGTTTCTTGAACTATTCTATTTATATAATCTATTTTTAATTCTTTTATCTGTTTTATTATTCTATTTGTTATTACTATAATTTTTCACTTTTACTAACTTTAATATTAATTCTTTTAAAATAATATTATTTTTAATATTTTTTACTAAATTATAATTTTTCTTTTTTAAATATTGTTTGTTTGTTATATTTTTAATTCTATCTTTCAAGCTTGTAATTGTAACTGCACTATCTGTACAAATCCTTATTTTTTTTTTTGAAACCATAAGTAATATATATTATATTGCTAAAAGTTCTAGTTTGTTGATAATAACCACTTCTTTATTTTAAAATATTCTTTATCAAGTATTTGTTTCTCTTTTGGATTTATTTGTACTTAATCTGCATCTATATGTTCAAGACTTGAGTTTTCTTTTTTAACAACTTTTCTTAAGGATTCATTTGTATAAAAAGTTAATATATCTTTTAATTTTAGTTGATTTTTCCTTTTCTTTTAAATAGGTTTTTCTTTCATTAACTAATTTGATATTTGTTTTTATATAATTTTTGTTTTTAGGTCTTGGCATTATACTGCTTTTAATCTTCTTTCTTTTTTTTTTGGTTTTGTATTTTCTCTTCTTTAAAAGTGATCTATCATTTTATGACTTATTTCTAAAAAGTATTCTTTCTGTTTCTTTATAAATTTGGACAAAAAGCCTTGAATTTCATTTTTGTTTTCTTATTTTATACAATTTTTTTTTGATCTAGAATACATTTTTTACACTTTTACATTACTGATCTTAATATTATTGGTTTTGTAGTTGTTATCTAATACACTATTAAAACTCTTTTTGGCATGCTTTTGCAAATTCTTTTAATTGTTAAATTACTGTTTTTAAGTTCTTTTCTTGTTTTTATTAGTAACTATTTATGTTTTTGTCTATCATTTAAGATTTGTTTTAATTGAATTTTAAAAGGGTGTGAGTCCCATAGCTTAGCGATTAAGCTCTCATACTCTCCACAGTCAAGATCAATGGTTCAAGTCTGGCTAGAGGCAAAATTAAAAGATTTTAGCTTCTGTAACCTAATAAGAAGCCTGTAATTGAATGCGAAGCCCTGTAGTTAAATTCAAGTGCAGTACAATGATGGAAATAGAAATTTTCAGAAGGAGACCCAATCATGGAGTGTAGGCACTATGCATAACAAGCAGTTGTTACAGAAGGTTACAGTTATGGAAAGATTGCGCATGTAAGTTCTTTAGGCCAGGACAACACTAACATCCTTATACCTTCTAATATAAGCAGTACCAACATCTCTGCACCCAACTTGTGGGATACTTGCTTGGAAGGATAATGTGCAAATAAGTCTTAATTGGGATTCAAGAAGAGGATTTGATTGGGAGAGTAGTCTGACAAGTAATCAAGACTGAAATAGTGAGAGAAGCAGTGAACACGAGGATGAACTGTGATAAAGGATTGGTCTAACCAAAAATTGGAAGCACCTTTGGCACAGCCGAATAATCTAATTATAGAAGAAAAGATCTTAAAGATAGGCATATAACCTCCTTGTGCAATGTAAAAGTACCAAATCAGGTTCTAGTCGTACCTATATGGAAGTCTATGATGAACAAGACTAGGGATCAACCAACCAATGTGAGATAAGATCTGCAAGGTAGTACGGCATCACTGGGGTTGGTGTAACTCACTGGGCATAACCAGAATTGTCCTGCAGATATTGTTGAATAAGCTGGAAGCTTGCAATACATGATAGTATGGTATCACTAGGGTCAGAGGAACTCTCTAGGTATAACCAGAATTGTCTTGTTTGTAAGTGCAACAAGTCCTAGTCTCTATCATAAAAGAAAGCACCATGTTGGAGCTTAAATGCAGCATTGAGTTATTGTATGACGTTAAGACCTAGGGCATCTACAGGAATGATGGCAGCAGGTTTGGCTTAAGATACGGATTAATCAAAAGACCAATAGTGACAGTAAATCTGGTTTGAGATACAGGTTCATTGTAGATTCTGGAACATCTTAGGAGAATCAATAACAAGCAAACCAAAGATGGAAAGATCATAAGGATCAGACATACCCAAGTAGGACCAATTTGGGAGTGATACAGTGATGAAAAGATGAAAAATGTGGAGAACAAGGTAATACTAGATATAGTTAGATTAGGAGGCAGAAGAAACAAGACCAGATAAAACATGTGAGTGGGACATATGGGTACGATTTACAGAAGACAGTACCCCTGGCATTTGGGATGGTACATTAAGTTCGGTAGGTATCTTTGTCTGTGTAGTGGTTTAATGTATGTCATGACTGTAAGTGGTTGCCAAGATAACTTTGTGCAGGCATGTGACAAACATGCACTTAGGTGCCATAAGAGTAACTGGATGAAGTCAGTAATGTTAAATTAAATAGTATATAGTACTAGTAATAATTGATCCTAAAATGTAACCATAAATTTGTACGATATCAAATTAAGGCTAATAAAAAACCAACTTGTATTGTCGCCAAAGTTCAAAAAAAAAAAAAAAAAAAATCTTGGTTTTTTAAACTTTTCTCAATAATTAAATGTTTTTGGAACTTAAAACATAACTGTTTAAAAGAAGAAAAGTGTACTAAATAACTTTATTTAAAGAGTCAAATAAGGTTTATATAATAGAAAATTGAGAAATAATTAAATGTTATTGTGTAGTTTTAGTATAAATAATCTACAGAAAGAGTTATCTAAATTTATTTCAATATTCAATAAAGATAGAAATATGGTCTTACCATTAATATTAAAAAAAAAAATATGTTTAATATAAAAAAATATATATGTATATATTTAGATTCAAACTAGTTTGATAAATTTTAAAATAAATAAAAATTAAATTTAAACTTGACTAAAAAATTTAAAACAAAAAATTTAAATTTAATTTAAAAATTAAATTAGACTTAAACTTGTCAAAGTCTGATTTAAACTCAAAAAATAGGTTCATATATTTAATTTTAGTTATAATAAAACAATATTAAGAGATGTGACAAATTAGTGAAATGAATAAGTTGTCAGCCCTCCAAATAGTAGATTGTGAATTCAAAACTTTCTAATGATGAAACTTTGGATAATTATCTATATAATATATAGATGGTATTATAGTAATTGCATTATATCAATCAGTTGGAATAAGATATCTATAACTATAATCACATCAGTATGATTGGTAGGTTATGAGCATTTGTGTAATCTTAGTTATATAGAGGAATGCAAACTGGTACCAGGTAATACAAATTTAAAATAAGTTCTTATGAGCATATAAATCTATAAAACTGAAAAAAACTGGAGCTTACTTGGAAATTTTAAATAGAAAGGTAATACAGATCTTTAACAATACTCT